TTGTTGTGAATAAAATGCTACGGGAGTTCCTCAATGCACTTGGTGTGGGAGTTTTTTTCCTTGAGTAGATAACTATGGGAATATTGGTTTTTTATTTTTCTTATTTTTGGATATGTTTAGTTTTACTTAGCTTCAATTATGAGTGTTGTAGCTACCATGCTCTTTTTGCTATCTTTTTTTTTTTAATAAATAATGCTAACGGGTTCATGAAATCTGATATATTTTTTCTACAATATATAGCTATGATGTGGGTTTGTTTATATCTTTTTATGCAAACAAGAAATGCATGAATTACCAATATTTTCATTTTATTATTTGTTTTGGTTATTTGTATCTGGGTTTTTTGAGTATTTTCTCTGTGATATAGTGCTAATCTTGTTTCCTTTTTTTTCATGCCTTTTGGAAAAAAACACCTGCACCTAACACAATTAAAAGATTGAATGGCACTAATAGTTGGGTTTCTTCTTTTATGTGGATATCTTCTTCCTTTATATAATGGGTTATGTATAAATCACGGTTGCTACATTTCTTTGAAGAATGTAGATTAATGGGTTCCTTTCTTTCTTAGTTTTCTAAAAACCTGTGAAGTTTAGTTGCGATTGCTTACTAGTGTGCTTGTTTCATTCTTGAATTTGTTCTCCACTCAATGGTTTCATTTGTTCCCGTCATTTATTGAAATTGGTTTGCTTTTTTTTTTTTTTCTGAAATTGCTGTACATTTGGTGTTCCCTTTTTCTTTGCTGGGCATAAAATGCTACAGGAGTTTCTCAAGGCATCTGGTGTGGGAGTTTTTTCCTTGAGTAGATAACTATGGGAATATTGGTTTATTATTATTATTATGTTTAGATTTGTTTAGTTTTACTTAGCTCCAATTGTGAATGCTGTAGCTACCATGCTATTTTTTTACCTTTCATGTTTTAATAAATAATGCTTATGAGTTCATGAAATCTGAAATATTTTTCTATGAAATACAACTATGATGTGGGTTTGTTTATATCTTTTTATGCAAACAAGAAATGCATGAATTACCAGCACTTTCATTTTCTTATTAGTTTTGGTTATTGTGTATCTAGGTTTTTTGAGTATTTTCTCTGTGATATAGTGCTAATCTTGCTTCCTCTTTTTCAAGTCTTTTGGAAATAAACATCTTCACCTAACACAATTTAAAGATAAGATTGAATTGCACTAATACTTGGGTTTCTTCTTTTATGTGGATGTTTTCTTCCTTTACATAATGGGTTATGTATAAATCAAGGTTGTTGCATTTCTTCGAAGAACGTAGATTAATGGGCTCTTTTCTTTCTTAGTTTTTTGAAAACCTTTGAAGTTTAGTTGCTATTGCTTACTAGCTTGCTTGTTTTCATTCTTGAATTTGTTTTTCACTCAATGGTTTCATTTGTTCCCATTATTTATAGAAATTGCTTTCCTTTTTTTTTTGAAATTTCTTTACATTTGGTGTCCCCTTGTTCTTTGTTGTGAATAAAATGCTAGAGGAGTTTTTCAATGCTTCTAGTGTGGGAGTTTTTTTTCCCTGAGTAGATAACTATGAGAATATTTATTATTAATTTTGTTTTTGGGTTTTTTTAGTTTTACTTAGCTCCTATTATGAATGTTGCCGCTACTGTGTTCTTTTTGCTATTTTCTTTTTTTAATAAATAATGCTTATGGGTTCATGAAATCTGATATATTTTTTCTATGATATACAACTATAATGTGGGTATGTTTATATATTTTTATGCAAGCAAGTAATGCCTGAATTACCAACATTTTCATTTCCTTATTTTTATTGGTTATTTTATATTTGGGTTTTTTGAGTATTTTCTTTGTGATATAGTGCTAATCTTGCATCCTTTTTTTTCAAGCCTTTTGGAAATAAACATCTTCACCTAACACAATTAAAAGATTGAATGATACTAATACTTGGGTTTCTCCTTATATGTGGATATCTACTTCGTTTACATAATCGGTTATGTATAAATCATGGTTGCTGCATTTCTTTGAAGAATGTAGATTAATGGGCTCCTTTCTTTTTTAGTTTTCTGAAAACGTGTGAAGTTTAGTTGCTATTACTTACTAGCTTGCTTGTTGTCATTCCTGAATTTGTTCTTCACTCAATGGTTTCATTTGTTCCCATTATTTATTTGAAATTGTTTTGCTTTTTTTTTTTAAATTGCTTTACATTTGATGTCCGCTTTTTCTTTGCTGTGAATAAAATTCTACGGGAGTTTCTCAATGCATCTGGTGGGGGAGTTTTTTTCCTTGAGTAGATAACTATGGGAATATTGGTTATTTATTATTATTTTTAGATTTCTTTAGTTTTACTTAGCTTCAATTATGAATGTTGTAGCTACCATGCTGTTTTTGCTACCTTTTTTTTTTTTAATAAATAATGCTTATGAGTTCATGAAATCTGATATATTTTTTCTATGATATGCAACTATGATGTGGGTTTGTTTATATCTTTTTATGCAAACAAGAAATGCATGAATTACCAACATTTTCATTTTTTTATTAGTTTTGGTTATTTTGTATCTGGGTTTTTAGAGTTTTTTCTCTGTGATATAGTGCTAATCTTGCTTCCTTTTTTTTCAAGTCTTTTGGAAATAAACATCTTCACCTAACACAATTAAAAGAATGAATTGCACTAATACTTGGGTTTCTTCAATGCATCTGGTGTGAGAATTTTTTTCCATGAGTAGATAACTATGGGAATATTGTTTGTTTTTTTTTATTTTTTATTTTTTTTACTTAGCTCCAATTATGATTGTTGTAGCTACCATATGATATACAACTATGATGTGGGTTTTGTTATGTCTTTTTATGCAGACAAGAAATGCATGAATTACCAACATTTTCATTTTCTTATTAGTTTTTGTTTTTTTTTATTTGGATGTTTTGAGTATTTTCTCTGTGGTTTAGTTCAAATTTTGGTTCCTTTTTTGTGACTTCTATTATCTGAAAATGAGATAATCCATAAGATTGCTTAAATTTGATTCATGGTTAGCTTATTTTTTTCTTCATTGATAGTTTTTTTGTTGGTCGTGAAGAAAAGAAAGAAAAAAATTTCCAGTATTGTTTTTTTTGTTGCCATAGGTTTTAGATTATGCTTACATTTTATTTTTCAATATCAAGCATAGGGACCTATCTGACCATTGAGAATGTAGGTATAGAATCTGTGAACAAAAACGAAAAGAACTTGTTCTAGATTGATTTGAATTTTTTGCAAATAACAACATTTCTAAAGTAAATCAGCTGGAAATTTGTTGAGTTTGTTGTGGAATTTGAGTTCAAAAAATGGTTGAAGAATCTAATATTTAGAGAGTTATCACTGAGAAAGTGGAATTTAGGCATTATCAAGCTTGTTTTATATTACTTGGCTAAAACAAGGTTATTTTCAGCTTCCATTTTGTTTCTCAAATTTCAAATTTTTTAATTTTGATAATAACTATCTGGTGATTGTTAGGTGGTTCCCAAATTGCGGATTAAAAAAAGGTTCCCAAGTAGGTCTTCTGACCGAGTGAGTACAAGTAAACCATGCTCCTGAGGTATGTGTTCTTTTTTAATAGAGTTGGTTTGCACGTTTCAATAAAGCATTTCAATGTGAAGTAGTACATTGATGTGTGGTTTTTTTATAAAGGTAAAAGTCTATATAAGGTTGAAGGTGTATCTATTATGAAGTCTGAAAGCTTTCCAAGTGACCATCTTTACCTCGAGATGCATCGATATAAATAAAAAAAAGAATGTCAAACCTAAAAATAGTGCATCTTGTAACTTTTCTCAAAAATTTTAAGTGTTCATATATCTGCTCGATCTGCATCGTTTTTAAAATTTTAAATTTCACAACTAGAGTTGAATATTGCTTTTCAAGCCAACATATTCTATAAAATTTAGAGGTGCATCTCATATAGTACAAGGTGGGCACCTTGCACAAACCTGACCCTTTATTAAAATAAGTGATCACGTACACATGTACAAGAAATATTTTTATGAAATTTATTCTGTAAGACTATTTTTTGTACAAAAAAGTTCATATCTAGCCATCTATGCACAATGAAGATAGAAAAATACTTATGAAATCATCTGTCTTGTTTTGACATATGAAATTATCATTTAATGAACTAATATTACCCTCCCAAATACAAATACTTACAAGTTACGAATTAAACTGCCTAATTTCATGTCGTCAGGATCAAGAACTTCAAGGTGCTGTGAAACACAAATTTGCAGGCTCCATCGACATTTTAGACAAGTTATAAAAAACAATGCTTTCCAGTATAAGAAGCTAGATCATCCACCTTCTGAGGGGGTGAGAAGTTCCAGCTTCCAGTTGTCAAACAGGGTATGGGCACGAGGAATTGGCAGAAAGTGGTCGCTCCCATTCTTGGTCTCTACTCACACACAGCCATCCAACGAGAAGGGCACATCAAGTTGGAGTCTTCATCTCTTCTTCTTCTTTGCTCTCAGAACCACCTCGCTTTATTTCATTTCAGGGCAGGCAAATGTCACTTTATCTATCTATCCCTAACAATAACCATTCTTTTTCTTGGGTGGCCACCAAAGTAGACAAATCTTTTCTCTCTCCTCTTGAAAACCCACTTTCAGGGCCGCTCCTCTGTACTCTCCTTCCTGCGCTATGCCCAAAATCACCCCTCTTTCCTCCTCACCAAATGCCTTCTCTTCCACATCCTTTCCCACTTCCGCCTCTTCTCCCTGGCCCATGCTGTCACCGTCTCCCTCCTCCACTCCCCCATCTATTCCTCCTCTTTCGTCATCCTCCTCTTCGAATCCCTCAGAAAAACCCATTCCCTCTTTCAGCCCTCCTCCTCCTCCTCTGCCACTTTTGATGCACTCATCAGATCCTATGCCGACTGCAACATGCCTGACGAGGCACTCTCTACGCCTCCGTCTCTCGCAGTCGGAGGGTTTCATGCCCACCGTTCTCGCATACAATTGCGTCATCCATTGTCTCTTCAAATCTCACAACCCCAAGTCGGCTTCTGATGTCTATGCGGAGATGCTCCATCCTCTGTCTCCCCCAATATCTACGCCTACAATATCCTCATCTCTGGTCTCTGCTCTACTGGGAATCTTCATGGAGCCTTTGCCCTGTTCCAGGATATGGAGGCTAGAGGCTGTTCCCCTAATCTTGTCACCTATAACACCCTCATCGATGCCTACGCCAAGTCTGGTCGAGCCCATGAGGCCCTGCGCTTGCTGGAATCCATCCCCCTCAGGCCCAATTTGGTGATCTTCAATTCGGTTGTCAATGCATTTTGCAGGGAACGGAGATTGAAGGAAGCGGAAACGGTGTTCGATAAGGTGAGGTTGGCTGGTTTGGTCCCTGATAGTATAACTTACAACACGCTGGTGCATGGGTGGTGTTTGGAAGGAAATGTACACCGTGCCCTTGCCCTGCACTCCAAGATGGCGGCGAGAGATGGGTTGGTGCCCAATGTGGTTACATACACCTCTCTCATTGCCGCAGTCTGTAAAAGCGGGAATCTTCGTAAGGCTGTGGAGCTCTTCGATAAGATGAGAGAGAGGAGGCTTAGGCCTAATGGGGTGACCTACACAGCACTTATTGATGGCTTTTGCAAGCAGGGGAATATTGAAGAAGCCTACTCTCTCTTACTTGAAATGACAAATAGTGGGTTCTCACCTTGTGTTATCACCTACAATGTGCTCATCAATGGCTGGTGCAGAGAGGGGAGAATGGCTGGATCCATATGCCCAAGAAAGGTATCACCCCTGATATCGTAACATGCTGCACAATAATCACTGGTTATTGTAAACTTGGGGATTTGGACACAGCTTTCTCTCTCTTCCATGAGTCAATGGACAAGGGCATGCCACCTGATGCCGTGACCTATTCATCCCTTATTCAAGGGCTCTGCGAGGAAAGGAGGCTGAGTGAGGCCCACCATTTGTTTGAGCAAATGGTTAATAATCGCATGGGCATAGCAGGTGGCCTGCATCCCGATAGCTTCACGTACACGATACTTATTGATGCGTATTGCAGGGAAGGAGAAGTGGGTCGCGCTCTCAACCTCCATGACGAGATGGTTAACAGGGGCATTCTCGCTGATGTGGTGACCTACAGTGTGCTCATCAACGGGCTTGTGAAGAAAGCTAGGACAAAAGTGGCCAAGCAACTCTTGTTCAGAATGTTTCATGATGGCTCAATACCACCTGAAATCACCTATGATCAATTAATTGGTCGATGGAGTGATGGGGATAGTGGGGTTGCACTCATGAAAGGGTTCTGTATGAAAGGGTTGATGAGTGAGGCTGATAGGGTGTATAGGTCGATGGTAGAGAAGCATTGGAAGCCCACTGAAGCTGCCTATAATGCGATGATACGTGGGCATAGTAGGGGAGGGAGTATTTGGAAGGCTCTTGAACTTTACAGGGAAATGCGGGGTTCAGGCTATATCCCAAACATTATTAGTGTGATAGCTTTGATTAAGGGGCTCTCATATGAGGGCCGAAGCTAGGAAGTGAGTGAATTGGTCCATGAGGTTCTGAGAGATTGTTTGGTTCCTGAAGCTGAATCTTCCAAAGTTGTTATGGAGATAAACCACAATGAGGGAAATGTTCAGTGATTGATGCCCTTGCTGAGATGGCCAAGGTTTCTTCCCACTAGTGGAGAAACTGGGTTGTCCAGAAGATGATGGTACCAATTTCTTCTTGTGCTTTCTATTGGGCTTTGTAAGTGGAGAACTGTCCACTTGTGGTACTACCGTTCCTGACCAGGCACTTGTACTAAACTTTGAAGTTTGAAGTTCTAGTATGAAGCAGAAAAATTCATGGTATAAGAGGTGGGAAAGTTGTCAGTTGGGCTTTGAATTTGATTACAAGTTAATATACACTTTTCTAGCTAGTATTAAATTGTATCTACTAATTCCCCGAGCCTAAATGTTGCATTTTCAAGCAGGCTACAGTTGGCCTGGTTTCACGTTTGTATTATGTTAACATCCAGATGTTTTTTTTTCCTGTATATGAATTTTGATTTGATGGGCTGAGAGTTCCTGCAGGAGATTAAGCAAATTAAAGGTGATTGATTTTCAAGAGAAGACGGACAGATAAGAAGATCGGTATGTTCCAGAGACATGTTCTTGATACAGTTTAAATATTTCCCCTTATAGGTACACATCAGTAGGTCATTTTAAGCATTGGATCCTGGGTTGCTGGCTGGATGTTTGATTCCTTTTTGCTATAAACTTACATTTTAAGTGGTCTAATTTCTTCCTTTGCTGATTCTGAGCTAATGCTATCATAAAACTGACTGCTTCTCAAATTATCGTGTTACTCATAAGTGCTACGTGGTCTTGTTTCTCCTTTTGCTGATTATCATTTACAATGTATTGGTTCTTGTATAGTTTCTGTGGATATAAAATATATGAATTTGTTCCTGGTACTCTCTGGTAGTTGACCTATAACTTCTTGAATCGTTTTCATTAAAAAACTATGGTAGTTGACCATTTCTTACTTCGTGAATTGTTTTGTTAATGAATTATGAGAACAATTATCTGCTTTTTTGATAGAATTAAAAAAGTTTTTTTGTTCGTATAGAATTGAAACTCCCTTGTGGATCGATCAATGTCTTATTTTTTCAAGGTAATCTCAATTATTTTAGATCTGAGAACCTAATACTCGCTTGAAGACCTTGAAGCAAACTCTGAGATGTGGATTTGGTTATCAAGTTTGCAGACATCCTTCATAAATCTTTTACGGAAGTCTTAGTACAGTAGTTAAAGTTGGTCTGGTCTACTTAATAGGCCTTGTCAAGATGGGTTTTCCGTAAATATTAAATGTAGATGGCCCCCTTTTGGTTTATTAAATTTTTAGATTCTTCTTATTCATAAAATTTTAAAATAATCCTTATTTTTTTGTTTGAGGAGGTTACCTGGTATTGTGTGCAAGAATACATGTCGGCAAGGGATTTGATCTTGTGGAATGAGCTCGTCCTGAATCACAAGGGGAAAAATTTTGGGAAATGAAGGAAACATGGAGAGAATGAGGAAAATGTCACTCATATAATTAGTGTTGGGTGGACGAAGTGGAGATGTGCAACCGTAGTTTTATATGACCGCCGCATACCAATGAAGCTGAAGGGGAAGTTCTATAGGACAACTATGAGATTAGCTTTGCTTTATGGAGTGAAATGTTAGGCGGTCAAGAAACAAGATACCCATAAGATGAGTGAGGATGTTGAGATGGATGAGTGGCAAGAGAAGAAGGGATAAAATTCAAAATGAAAACATCTAGAAGAACTTAGGTGTGGCTGGCCATGCAGAACATACCCAATACAACACCTATTAGGAGGTGCGAATTGGTTCAAGTGGAAGGTCTAAAGAGGGCAAAGGGTAGGTCCAAAAGGATATAGTTGGAATTAGTGAGAAAAGATATGGGAACTTATGGGTATGGCCCGTGGTACAGCAAAATGGTGGACCAGGATTAATGTAGCCGACCCAAAATAGTTGGGAAAAGGCTATGATGATGATGATGATGATGATGATGGAGGAATAATGCATGGGAACTTCAGTCACAATGTCATGATGCACTATGGCAATCGAAGTAAGTGCGCTATTTGATTTTGCAGTGGTTGTGGGTAAACTTTTCTCCGTATAGGTTGAGGCCTAAAGGGGTTGGACTGTTGTTAATATAAGCTGGACAACTAGCAATTACATGTCTGCCTAGGGGAAGACTGATCCTTAGGCAGCCACAGGGATGTGTCTATTTTCTTACAAGTGGATTTTAATTTGCGAAGTCTTACCTTGATACCTTCATTTCCTTATAGTTCACTCATTTGTGGAGAGATTGACCATTACAGTACTCTCAAAACTGATTTATGTATGCATCTTAAGATATTAGATATGCGTTGATAGTTGAAGTTCTCCATTTGATGTGAACATCTTATGAGTTTACTGAGGTCTCCAGTGTGAGAAATTTATGGCCCACTTGGTTTCGTGTTGTAGTTGGATAAACACCCCAGCATTGTGTTCTTAGCATAGACTGGATTTTCAAAATGGTTGTATTGAATCGGAATGGTGTGGATTCAGTTAGTTGCTCCATTACACTTTGCAAATGGCATCCCTTAGGATAGCAGAGGTGCCCTTCTCGTGCCAGGTATCTCCATTACATTCACCCACTCCTTTCCTGTTGTCTTAACCACCTCTAAAGACATAGAAGAAGAGGGTAAAGAAACCCGTGACAATCTAGTAATCAAAGAATTGGTAAGTGATTAAGCTAAGCAGCTTGGGTCTATGCAGAATCAGATGGTCTTACATTTCAACAAAGAGGTGCAATTTCTATCACTTTCTTTTTCTCTGGGGAGTCAAATAAGTTCCTGTGGACAGCAAACTCTAAATTAATGTAGCTATGTAAATATGGCTAACAAAATACATGCAGCTTGCTATCTATGCCACAGTTCTGAACACAACCTAAAATATCACGTAGTTAGCATCGTATGAAGGAAGTTGATTCTCAAGCACAAAACCTCCAATTGTGAGGTGCAATCTCTTGGCTAAAACTAGTCTTCAAGGTACTATTCTCACTCCCATAACCAATGGCGTTTAGTTGATTACAATAAAAATTAAGTCCGATAGACATTTCATCCGCATCTATGCCAACTAAGATTTATATTGTAAATATCGGGCTTGGGCCCGATTAATTAGTTGTTGAGTACTGTAACAGTACATTCCAAGTTTGATTCCTATAGTTGAATGAGCCAAAAATAAAAAACGAGGAAAGGGAAAAGTATACCATAATTCCATCACCTTTAATACAAGGATTCAAATCAACCTTAGTTGCTGGACGTGAAATCAAATAGCCAGGCTTGGCTCATTGACCAGGCCCAAAGTCCAATAGAAAATTTTTTGAACTTCAAGTCACAATCAAGAGTTAGATTTCACATCTAATGGCTATAGGTAATTGTGATCTCCTTGTACCTAAGGTAATGGATTTATACTATGCGATCAATGTTTTAAAAAGTGCTAGGTAGCCGAGGGGGTCCAGGCCACCCAGAACCTGGGTGGCCCAGTAGAAAGAAAAAAATTATGGGGTTTTTTCTCTTTCTAAAAGGATCTAATGGGTTTTAGGTTTCAAATGAACCTAAAACCCATAATTTTGCCCCTTTAGTATTAAAAAAATGCCCTCATGAGGGGCATTTCTGCCCTTAGGTGAGGTGCAGGCCATGGGTTGCTGTCTAGGTGGTATTACTCTCCATCTTCCTTCTCACCGGCTCCATCGACATCCGCTCCTTTGCCAGTCCCCACCAGTACTCTTCTTGGTCTTGACTCTTTCATTGTCTACCCAAAGAAACTTAATTCCAAATAAAAGACGGCAACACTGATTGATTGCTCAAAACTAAAGAGGTTATCCTTTCGGAAAATTCTCAAGAAAGTACAGAACCTTAGCATCATGTGTTCAATACACAAATAAAATTCTCAGAGCTGTTATAATTGGATCCTCTTATTTTATCTTAAATGAATCATAATATAATTACATTTTATTTAACATATGGTTTTAGTTTTATGAAAAGCTCCAAAGAAGGAACAGAAAAGAAGAGATGTAAGTAGGGAAAGGACGTTAGAAATAGGTATATTACGACTTCGCCACATTGTCACTTGAAAATGGTACCATTGGTTGCAATGTATTCTTTCCTTATAATGTGAATATATCTGTTGTTGCAGTTTGACTCAAGTGCAGTTCATGAAATGCTGAAATGCATCCATTTCCTTACTGTTGATGAAATTGGTTACACAGTCTATTTTTCTGATGAAAATAATGGCATGGACATTTATTGTTAATTTGATGTTTTCCTAGTTGCTAGGATAGAGATAGACACGTCTCTCCCTCTTCTCGGCACCCAAAAATGGAAGATATGGATATCCTCCTTTAACATACCCATGGCTCCTGGGAAGACTCGTTCAATTGTGTGCAGTGCTCGCAATTTCTTCGGCTTCCCAATGCCTGGGCCATCTTGGTGGCAGGTGAGGAAAACAAAACTGAATGCGGTTTGAAGTTAGCTATAAAACTTGAAATGCATACACTTTTTTAATGTACTTTATCGATTCACCATTCACTACATAGCATATTTTCATTTTCATTCTTATGCTGATTTTTACATAGACTTTATCAACTCAAACTGGTCATGACCTGCCCAAAGAAAAAAAAAAAATAAAACAGAAACTAATAAAAAACTCATTCCTTTCATTACATGGCTTTTGTATTTGTTAGATATCAGCAAATTTGGAAGCTAATTCTTTTGATATAGTTTGTTAATGCATAACATTCATTACTTAATATGGTTTGTTAACGCATAACATTCATTACTTAATATGGTTTTTTCTTATTTTTAAAGATTTAGAAGAATACCCAAAGATAGGCATTTATGCAGCTTTTTTATTATTCGATGCCCAAAACTAAGATTTATTGACATCAAAACCTTCTTGTAGGGCACATGAATCTCATGAAAGTGGATAGTTCAGTCAATTTTATATTAGATTCCTATAGAACACTCTTGATCTGCTCACACTAACCTCTAGCAGCAGATCTCTGGTTACCTTAAATATACCAGGAACTAGGATCCTACCTACAAAATCTGACGTCTTTAAGAAAATTGTCTTCAATAATAAGAGGCTTACTAAAGCTTCCCCTATGAATCCTTATCCCAGTAAATTCTTCCTTTACATTGAGTTCAGATGGTAATAATATTGTCCTTCCTATGCAGCTGGTTCGTAGATGGCATGAGCAATGGACCTCAAACAAAGTTTACGATGGTGACATGATTGTCCTTCAAGGTCAGGAGCAGACATTCCTCTCCAAATCATTGGGAGTCTTCTGCTGATGTTAATCAGCAATACACAAAGATCACCTTCACACCCACAAGAGCAGATCGTTTTGTTTTGGCATTTCGTAATTGGTTGAGGCGTTATGGTAACAGCCAACCTGACTGGTTCAGTTCAGCTACCCTACAACCTCTCCCATCCATAACCCTATCCAAGCGTAAGGTACATGTCAATTTTGTATGTGGAGTAATTAGATAATATGTATGGTAACATGTATCATTGTCCAATGCACAATAAAAATCATAATTCATTGGGATATAGATCGTTCAATGTAATGCTGGACAGTCATCCAGAGTGGGATGCACCAGAGCTTCGCACTCTCTCTCCACCGCCTTCCATCATATCATTGAACAGTCATAACTCTAATGGGCAGTGGTTTTCGATAGTCCAATGTTCATAGACCACTTTCCCTTCCCCCAAATCCCCGTTTGTTTGTTTATTTGTTTTTGTTTTTTTGTGTGTGGTAGTCTTTTATTATATTGAGCATACATGTTAGGAATTATGAAGATAGTGCTGGTTAAGTTAGTCATTCATTCCATTGTAGGACAATAACTAAATTCATGAGAATGATTAAGTTTTCCTTCCATTATAAGAGAATAACTAAATTCATGCGAATGATTGATATTTGCTTTGCTTAAGTTAAGTGTTTCTTATTGATTTTGTGAAAATTGTTATACAAGTATAATTCCATGTGGAAAAGTGATTCCTTATTCTTCGGACTCTACACATCCAACCAATGTTCATGACAAGAAAATAATAATTGAGGAAGATTTAGTGAAGCCTTCCCTTGCCTTCCTCATTTACCTCTCTCCATGTCTAATTTAATTGTTTGCTATGTGGCCTTTCAAGACCTTAAAGCCAAGAGTCTTGCGCTCAATTGGAGTTAGAGAGAGACTGAATCTTGGTGCTTGGCACACTGGGGTCCAAATTCATATACCCCGAGTATTTAAGGCATTGAGGTGTGAGGGTCATCTCCTAGTCAGAAATATATTGATTATAATGCCTCATAGTTGATGTGATAAGCCAGGGCTTAGAGAATCCAATCGAAAATAATAGAACCCGAGTATTTAAAAGAGTATTCGCATTGTATCGAATGGTTGGCTCATGGGACATGAGCCTGTATCCTAATACGAGATCGTTCCATAGCATGTGAGCCCACAGTCGTAAGGGGAGCCACTCTTCTTTAGTACACATGTGCTTTGAGAGGACTCCTGTATTTGAGTAGGAACATGTCCCACATGAGTACACCAGTAATCCATTGAACACCGTGACGGGAAGCTCTGGCTCAACGACTTTGATGTGACCAATCATGAGTCCCTGCCATAGACTGTGGAACATAGCTTCGTTGGGTCGGCTTGAGACACTGGAGGAACGTCATTTGGCTTAGCCTAATGAAAGACTGTGACTAGTTTTTAATTCTAGAGATCTCATTTATCTTTGGCCCAAATTAATCTAAAATTGATGAGAAAAGGTTTTATATTGATGAGAAAATGTGTAATAATGTTGAAAAATCATTTAGAGAATTTTCGGGATTTTTGGAAAATTATTCAGAATTTTTAAATAATAAAAAATGTGATTTTCAAATTTGTTTGACATAAATACCAAACAAGGACATCCTTTGGGAATGCCACATGGATCCTAAGTGGCCATAGGGATGCCACGTGGCACCTCCACCTCCCCACTTGTGGATGACATCATGCTGATGTCACATCTATGTTGGGACCTATTTGTCATTAGTTCTTTTGTTGGTGTTATGTTATAACATGTTATCTTGTAATTTAAAGTGTTTTATATTATTATGACTTAAGTTTGATTTAAGTCACGTGTTTTTTGCTCATGTGTGAAGTCATGGGCATTTGAGAATTAATTGGTTTATATTATTATCCACATATGATTTTTTGGCATGTGGATATATCTTATGTGTTACTACCTTATGGGCCTGATCCATGTGAAACTTTAGTGTTATTGAAATCTTATTAGTGATGATATAAGATATTTTATTCACATGTGTAGATCTCCCATATTACCTTTATGTCCATGTCCTTGTCTTTTATTGACTCTCACAAATTATTTAAAAACCATGGGCATAGATGTAAACATGAATTTGGACTTAAAAGAAAATAATATATGGAGCTTAGGGCTTTAAGGTAAAATGACTATAAACTTAGGTTTTAAGGAGTGAAGGGTGTCAAAAACCCATCCATTGATCTTGGTAATAAGATATGGATGAGTGGCTTGGATAAAAACTTCTCATGTGCCATTAATCTAAGGCATCAAGGATCAAGATTAAATCCACCTTTATGATTTAAGTATAAAAGTAACTTATATGATCAATTCAAAACCCTAACTTGAGTATTCACTTCAGAGAGAGAGAGAGAGCCATCTTGGCAAAAATGTGGCCACCCATGAGACTATCTTCTTCCTTGAGCTTTCATTTGAAACCCTTCTATGGAGTAGTCTCTCATGTATGTGATCAAGCCCATACTATTGCTTTGTCATGGTATTGATTTTTCTTCTTATATTTCAATTCTTACCTCATTTTCATTATCAAAGCTTGCTGTAATTCTTAATGTATAGTACCTTTCTTCATTTTTTGTCTTGAAAACTTGATATTTGAAGAGTACCAAAGCATAGCGTAGTCCATACATATGGTATGATTAGACTAGCTTGCTTACTCCATGATCTTTAGTAGTTTGACCTTGATTTTCTTGATCTTATTTTTCTGAAATTTTTATTGAGAATATATAACAGATGAGAGGTTTATTTCATCATATTTGAGTGTATGAAATAGTCCCTTGAGATCTTTTTTGAATATTAAAAACTTCGTGTGGTCCTTTATAGACCACATGGTGTAGTTTAACCATAACTCCCTTATTTTGTGTAGTATCTCTCTCAAACATTGAAGGGCTATTTTTATACATGTATCTCTTATGATTTGATCCCCATTAAGTGAAATAAAAGTGATCATTTGCTTCCCATTGGATTGATCCCCTTGACTTATTATTATTACCCGTGCCTTAGACAATGAGACAAAATTAAGTCTTCAAAAGGCTCTTTCATGGACCGGGCACAAGGGGTTCGAACCATGGCTTCCCCATGTATGTGTACATGTTAATTTGATGTATTTACAAGTTATTCAATGATTAATGATTGGTTAAATTGAGTATGTTGTGCGAATATTGAGATTGTTCTTTAATCGTGCTCTATGAGCTTTAATACTATGCATTATTGTTTATGCGAATTGAAATCTCATTAGATTATTATAATCAATTATATGATGCGTATGAGACATTGTGATATATGATGATGATGAAGAACGAAGATAGAATTATCATATAATTTTGATATATTGAGGATTTTCGAGTGCAAGTCATGTAATATATCGTAGAGATTTACATTGTGAATATTTGAATATTGTATTGAGTTTAATTGTATTTTTGAGTAAGGGATTCTTAAGGGACCTATTAGGGTTGATTTTTTATTATTCACATGTGTATAAACCATGTTTGTAGGTTGGAGTATATGTATTATGGTTTTGTATTGAGATATTAATGCATTTAAACGCTTGAGTTTTGAAATTGCATAATGAGATATAGCGTATAATGAGATATAGCGTATAATGTGATTTTGAAATTGCATCAACACTTGATCAAGATTGCTATGTTGCATATGCTTTGATTTTGAGAATTAGAGTTATTGGCTTGAGAACTGTGACTGAATATTTTCTAGAACTGTTGTCTGTTTGTTAGAGAATGGTAGGGAATTTAGTACTTTACATAAGAGAATGATATTTGGTGGTATTTGGTGTTATTGAGTGTACTTTCATATGGAAAAGGTCTCATGTCCATATTGTATATATTTTGGAAGTTATTGAGTATTTATTAAAGTATGGCAAATCTCAGAAATACATTTCCAGGAACTTTATACCTTTTTCTGTGGCGATTTTGATCAATCAAAACTTATGAGATTGAGTTAAGACCACTTTGTACTTTTGAGGAATCGAGTCCAATTTAAATGTATTTTTGAGCTTATAGGAAAATTCCCCATCTGTGGAAAGTTATGGTCGTTTTACTAGAGGGGTGTCATACTGCAATTTCTGCTACACAGAGCAGAAATTTACCCTCGGAGAATCATGTTGTTTGATCCACTTCGGACCATTAGTAAGTGCTACTTTCTAAATGAAAGTTGTCTCATTTAGTATTGAATTTATTCAAGTGTTCTGACACCTTTGCACCCTCTTTCATTCTCAAAGAATACAATTTTCCTTTTGAGAAAATTCGGTTTGTGAAAGATTTTGTTTGATACAAACTTTCCAATTTATCCCACAAATCTTTTGCTGTCTTTTCCCCAACAATATTAAACAACACTTCATTCGCTAAATACAAGCGAATAGTGGTTCGTGCCTTTATATCAAGTTCTTCCCAATTATCATCGGTCATATTTATCGATTTCTTATCTTTTTCAAGTAGTGCCTTGTGTTGCCCTTGATGTACCAATACATCTTGCAATTTTAATTTCCAAATTTCAAGATTATCTTTCATAAAACTTCTCAACCCCAAACTTGTGAGATGCCATTTTTCCAAAAATACTACACCACTACCTTGAGCTCTGATACCACTTGTTTGTAACCGAGACTTTCTCGATTACACAAGAAACCCCCAATATCTACCTCTCAAAGTTTTTCTACACCTTTCTTTTCTTTTATCTTCTTTCCTTATGTTTTCTCTCCCTAAAAATGTCTTTTATAGACCTTACAAAGGACCTATTTTCTATGACCAAAATGCCCTTTAACAAAAGAGAAATACCATTGGGGTGATATTTGCATCACGTCCCAACATCCCTAGTCATCGTTTGTTGGGATGACTTCCATGAGGGCTCCACCATCCTTCTTAAATCATCATGGCATACTTTCTGGCAACATCTTGCCTCTATAATGTTCATTTTGATTTCAAAATCTTCAATGCCATTTATTCAGTAGGGCCTTTTGTTTATTTGGTTTATCCCTAGGCATCTTTTACATTTAGGGGTACCGATTCATCCCAAAGGAAATTTCTCATAAAGTCTTTGTTTTCTTTCGCAATGAGGATGGGATCGAAAATGATGACATGTAGTATATCGGTAATTTGGAAATGGTTGATTTGAGTAGGGCGATTCTTCCCCATTAATAGGATCTTCTTTTCGAAGATGCTGATTTTTTCCTCAAGTCTCTCCAACATCTCTCCCTAACTTGTTTTTGTTTGTTTTCAATGCTTGGCAGTCCAAGATAGTTTGGCATCTTGTCTATACCACAACCATGCATTTAGCAAGAACAGCCAGCTCTTCTTTTAAGACATTTACTAACATCTCAGAAACAGTTGTAAATAGTTAATTTGCATCACATTCCCATCCTAGAAAATAAGGGTATCATCTATGTATTTGCAAATGTGATGATTGAGTATGATATACTATTCATAGCATATTTCAATTCTACTAATAAATGTCCTTTTTTTTTTCTTTTCTTGTGGGGTATATGTTGTATAGTGATCTTTCAATGTGATGATTGACGGTGTTGTAAATTTGGACTCACTGGAGTTTATTGCTTCATTGTCATCCTTCATATTGTCAAATGATCATGGCCCCGGTGGCCATGGTTGTGTATGGTCCATTCTTTGTAGTATGATTTTCCATTTGGTGTTTTTATGTGCAAATGATGATCGCATCCCGATCTTATGTTATGTGGATTACATGATATCTTGCATATTTGGTTTGCACAAAGGGTTAATATGCCCTTCCTGCATAAGAGACTAATAAGATCATGAGGCATATATTGAGTCTGTTTACGATCTTTTGTTTTCTTCTGTTGTAGATGTTGGATAGATATGAACAGCATACGCCGAAGTGCTCTTCATCCAAGGGAGCCTACAATGATTTCCAAACCCTGTAGAAAGTGTTGGTGGGTGCAACTGTGATATTTGGTGCAACTGCCGGTGACCCATCTGAAACGGGCCTGAGGATCGTCCTCGCCACGCTTTCTATTTTGAGCACTGCTGCTACGTAACTCTTAAACCAGCTCGAGAAGAATTTTGTATTCGTTGATTATGTGCATTCTGAAATAGATTAATGTTGTCAGTAAAGAAATTGCCTCAGGGAGTGAGAGGGCAGTTGATCTATTCTACAGAGTAGTTGAAATTTTTGGAATGAAATTCTGTGTAATGTACAGCGTGTAATTTAGAAAATAGGAACTCAAATTATGTACATATTTCTTTTATATGCTGTGAAGTATCATAGTAATAAGAACGAACTGTCTTGGCTCTAGTCAAAAAGATAAATTTGGATTCACGTGAAACATATTTTTGTTATTCTTTTGGTTTCAAACATAACTGGCCCTTGAAGAACTGGATGGTTTTATAATGGTTTCAGTTTCAAGTGAAACATATTTTTCGCAATGATTTCAATTTATAACGTAAATGTCCATAGAAGAACCGGATGGTATCTTAGTACCCTGAGAGAACTGAATGATTTCAGAATAGCTCTGTTTCTTTCAAAACTGAGTTTTTGAGAGACAAGGAGAAGTATCCTGTCGAGGGCTTCACAAGCACACTTTCGCAAGGCCATATTCAACGGCTAAAAATTAGTCTCATTTTTTATTTTTTATTTAATTAGATATTTATCTGAATTTTGGAGTGTATATATATATTTTATAAAAAGAACTAAATAAAAATGATTAGAATATATTTTAAATAGAAAAATAATCAAAATATCCCTAAATTTATTTTGATCATTATTTTTAGGGTGTAGTTTGCATAGAGCCAAAGTAAAGCGCACCTTCAAATAGTGTTGAGAATGTGGTTTTAATAGTTGAAATCTTTGTGATAGCCTTAAAATATATTTTTATATTTGATTATCAAATGTAAAACTTTAAAAATAAGAAAAATATCTCCATATCTTATATTTTTAGATTTCATTTCTTAACAAATCCAAGGTTTAAAAAAGTTATTTTCCAACGCCCTAACCACTTTAAACGTGAAGAGAGAGAGCAGGAGGAGAGAGAGAACAGGAGAGAGAGTGAAGAGTTAAAGATGGAAAAGATGGAGAGAGATAAAGTATGGGGAGAGAGAAGTTTGGGAGGATAGCTTTTGGAAAAGGCAGATCCTTTTAGATTTGTTTGGCTTAAAAAAATAGTGTTAAAGTAGTTTAAGGGGTTAGGAGAAATAAAATCTACAATTTTTATATCTCAAGATATTTTTAAAAATCTTGAGTCTATTGTGAAATGAAACTTAAAAATAGAAAATATGAAGATATTTTCCATTAAAAAAGTGTAGATTGAGCATATATATGAAAACTTGAAAATCTTGAAAATTGATGGTCCAAAAATACATTACAAGATGTACTATTTCCAAAACTTGAATTCCATTTCTTTTTGTCCCATGCCCATGCATCTTGATGTTGAGATGATCAATTTAATGATATTTGGGGCATCACAACGAGACCTTTTAATGAAATATTTGAGGTGGGCTCTGATTTGATTGTTTAGAGCAACGGCTCTACATAAACTGTTTTTATATTTTTATTGAAAATACTTTTTACTATTTTTATTCAATTCTACTATTTCATTTTAATGTCGTTTTTTTCAAAAAAAATTGAAAATAAAAAAAATAAATTTAAATTTGGCACTTGGATTAGACTGGTTTGATCTGAACCACACCATTTGGATGCCATACCAACCCGAAATGAAAATGCCAGAGCACTCGACGAATTTGGTCTATGCTTGTCCAAGAGATGTATTTTGTTGAAGCGGGATATGCTCAGAAGGTGGTGTTTTGGATGGACTCAAGCGTGCTCAATTTGGTGCCATCACTGAATAAAGTCCAACAAGGGACAGATTGCAACAGTTTTAGCATGTTTCATCTGTTTTGGTTTTAAGCCAGGGAAAAATGGCTCTGCTGGAGTTCCAGTTTATGGGGTATGACCTTAATAGTTTTCATGAGCCGGATTTGGATGTGTAGGCTTTGGCTGAACTTGAGAGGCCGACAATTATGGAAATATGCTTAGCCACTAACCATTATTCAATGGGAAAACTTTCTATACTTCCACCATCCATCCAGCTGTCCAGTTTAAATGGCAGCCGAGGTTACTTATCTCAAAATGTTACAAGTGAGCTACAAACCATTTGATATAGATCTGACATATTTTATGTTCAACTTTTTTTCATAAATTATATAAATAGGAAAAGTACGGATCATCATCTCAATAAAGTGCACCAAAAAAATACAAAAAAGTAATTGTGGAGTACTTTGTTCATTTTATTTTATCAAGAATATTTTTTTTTATATTTTTGTAGGTGAGAGTTTAAAAAAGAAGTGCAACCCCAAATTTGGTGCCAAAAAAATCCATAGAATAAAAAAATAAAAACAATGTAGAAGTATGACATTATGATTGTAGTCATCTTTGTTGTCCATTCAGATCAAATGGCTAAAAGACAGAAGTTCTAGGAAAAATATTTATACAACATGAGCTTTCGCCGTTTGTAGCTCAATATGAAGGTGATTTTGCCAAAGATTTTGCAAGATACGAGGACGATTTCTGGTGTTGCCAAAAGTTTAGAGACAGAGAGAGCCATTCGGAAAATTAAGAAGCATTTGCTCAAACTTACATCTCTACTTGGCTCCTAGTGATTCAAGACCGAGAATGGGTGATCTACATTTCCACTTGCTCCCCCCAAGACTGGTCATATTTGGTTGGAACGCCCATTCTCAGAAGAGGAACTAGTAAAAGAAATCACGGATCTCGGCAAAGACAAAGTACCAGGACCAGATAGTGTTCCGTTGGCTCCCTTCAAGATTTTTTGGGAGACTTTTAGGTCTGACTTCCTCAAATTCTTCGAAGAGTTCTACCATAAAGAAATCATTCATAAAGCAATGAATGCCACCTTCATTGCCTTAGTCCCCAAGATGGAAGGAGCAAATGAATTAAAGACCTTTAGACCGATCAGTTTGGTAAACCCCTCATACAAGACCGAGAATGGGTGATCTACATTTCCACTTGCTCCCCCCAGGACTGATCATATTTGGTTGGAACGCCCATTCTCAAAAGAGGAACTAGTGAAAGAAATCACGGACCTCGGCAAAGACAAAGTGCCAAGACCAGACAGTGTTCCGTTGGCTCCCTTCAAAATTTTATGGGAGACTTTTAAGGGTTGACTTCCTCAAATTCTTCGAAGATTCTACCATAGGGAAATCATTCATAAAGCAATGAATGCCACCTTCATTGCCTTAGTCCCCAAGATGGAAGGAGCAGATGAATTAAAAGGCTTTAGACTGATCAGTTTGGTCAACTCCTCATACAAGATGCTGTCAAAAGTGTTGGCGACTCGTCCTAAAGAAGTGCTACCCTTTGTAATTTCTCTTTCATAAAGTACCTTCATAAAGGGTAGACAAATCCTCGACACGGTCCTAGTCACTCACGAGTGCCTCCATTCATGACACTTTCAAAAAAAATCAAGACTTATATTCAAAATTGATTGGGAAAAGGCCTACGTCCATATCGACTATTCACTTTTAGACGAGACTATGGGTAGAATGGGTTTCAAGGATCGATGGAGGAAATGGACGAGGGGTTGCTACTCAAATCCCTACTTCTCCATCCTCATCAACGGGACTTCTAAGGGACTCTTCCCCTCTTCTAGGGGTCTCTTCCAAAGAGATCCCATTTTCCCCTTCCTCTTCGCTTTAGCTGCTGAAGTCTTAACCAATCACTTTCTAGGTTTTTCCAGGTGTGCCTATTGAATGGCTTCACAAGTTGTGCTAGAGGCCCCTCGGTTTCCCATCTACAATACGCCAATGACACTCTAGTGTTCATTGATGCCAATCCTCAAGAAATCGAATGCCTCCATATGTTCCTTAGGTGCTTTGAGTTTGCCACATGCTTTAAGGTCAACATGTCAAAGTCTACAATGATAGGGGTTGCCCTCACCTTTGCGGAGACCAGATCCTTACTCCCAAGTTGGACGTGCAAAGTGGAAGAGCTCCCAACTAACTACCTAGGGATTCTCCTGGGATTTGGGAAACCTAAAAAAGCACAATGGTCAACCGTCATTGATAGAGTGGACCGCCGGCTTGCCTGTTGGAAGGGACGGTTCCGTTCCTTCGCAGGTCGCACTACTATGATCAAAGCCACACTCTCCAATACCCTTATTTATCTCATGTCCCTATTCCATATGCCGCCAGTAGTAGCCAATAGGCTGGTACAACTCATGAAGAACTTCCTCTAGTCAGCTTTACCGAATCGTTGTGTTCTCTATTATAACGAAGACTAGACCCACTCCCACATGTTTATTCACTGTGATATTGCTCTTTACCAGTGGACCAAACTCCTCAACCTTTTCGGCCTGACCTGGGCCATACCGGCTTCATTCCCAAGACTTTTTAACTTAGCAGACAGCCTTCTGTGGCCCAAATGTGGGAGGCTCCTATGGAAGGCAGCGACAGAGGCCACGATTTGGACTCTATGGAAAGAAAGGAACTCAAAAATCTTTAGAGGGGTCCATAACGATAATCCAACCCTGTTCCATAAAATCCACTCTCGTGTCTTTCAGAGCCACCAATCATAAGGCTTTCAAGCTCCTTCCTTCTTCCACCTTCCTAGCCAACTGGCAACAATTACTTCTACTTCAGAACACTCAATCCCCATGCCATGGGGACTGGTCCCCCCTTTCGCCGGGTGCAATTAAATTCAACTTTGATGATTGCTCATTCGATAATCCTGACCCCTCTGGGGTAAGCGGCGTTTAGAGACTACCAAGGAAACACCTTTGGCACAATTCTCAAGTCACATAGGTCATGCCAATTTACAACTGGCATCAAACTCTTTGATCCTACATGGGGTCAACCACTCCTGGTGGTAGGGGATGCACGCAATATAATCTCTTGGGCAACAGATCATGTATCGCCCTTGGTCCCTCTCTACGATTTTTGACGAGATTTCTCACCTCTGCAAGGATATTCCTGTCTCATAGACACATATCTGGCGGGAATCAAACGCACTGGCAGACCGTCTAGCTAAGGAGGGAGCCAACCTGTAAGCCGACGCTACTACCTAAGTCTGGAAGACTTTCCTAAATGTTTTTCTTCACGCCACATTGCTAGCACTTTTAATGTAATACCTTGCTTGGCACTTTTGAGTACAAAGTCCTCGTAGAACGACCCCAAGCCGTCATGTTAAGCCTGGGTTTAGTCTCTTTCTAGAGTACTCTTCTCTTTATAGAGTACTCTTTGTACTACACCTGAGGTGTTCCTAATTCCCCTCCGAGAAGACAAACCCGTGTGTCCTCTCTTATCACTTCATTCTCTTTCATTCTCTTTAATAAACTGTCAACTTCATAAAAAAAAAAATAGAAAACATCTATAGTTCAAAAGTAAAAAATTAATAAGCATTGGCTCAAAACTTACATAAACAGAAAACATCTATGATACAAAAGTACATGTTACATACACATATACAATATTGGCTGCAAGGTTATATGATTGTACACATGATTTACAATATCCGCAGCAGCCTCATGCTCTGAAGAAAGCAAACTGTTAAACGCTCCATGTGAGTGCATGGGTGGCTTTCAATAGCATGCTCAGGGCTGGAGAGCAATTGGCTCGAACAATAGCATCTGATGACCGACTCATCTTTCCTATTAGCAACCCAAAGACCTGCTAACAGTAGGCAGGAAAAACTACTGTTGATATCAGAATAAAAAAGATCAGAAGTGATTGATGTCAGGATTGTGATAAGGTGATGGAAGTTATCGATGTCAAGATTGATAAGGTAATTGTAGATAGATAGATAGGTAGAGAGAGAGAGAGAGAGAGAGAGAGAGAGAGACCTGTGTTACATAGGGAGCCAAAGAGCGTTGCTCTCCCAAGTGAGATAGCATGCTTCCAACAAAATACAATGCATTTGCCTGGATGACTGGCCAGGGTGCATCAAAAGCCTGCAAAAAGAGACGGAATTTTCAGGTTAAGGCTTCTCTGGACTTTTTCTCTTCTTTTCCTTAGCTCTTTCCCTGAAGCAATTATTCTCTTTGATTTTAATTTTGTATGAGCCAAGCTAATGTGGAGCATCATAGCAGTCCATACCACGGGTGAAAATCTACAATTGAAGAAATTTGGTTATATCACCAGGCCAAACTTAAATTGGGCCCACCCATTTCATGCAAGCTCATGGAAGCAGAAGAAAATCTGACCTATGAATTTGTTTTAGGCTCAGTGAATTGTTTAATTATTTTCTAAAGATGGGTCCAAAATATAATTGCATGTTCTAGCTCTTTCCTTTACCCTAAAGGCTCTAGACCTTGCATTTTTTCAGAAAAATTAATAATTTGATAATTAAAGATTAACTTGGTCACAAGTCTCGGTTCCCTATACAGATGAAGGCAGTCTACAAAAATCAGATGATGAACCTCCCTAAGATTGCAAACCTGGATTGCTGATGCCATGTATGTATCAACCCTGGCAGCTAAATTCTGGCAGATGTGTCTTGCAATATCCCTTACAAAATTTTCATAATCGCTCCTAGCAAAAAATAAGTGTTAACAACGAAAAGGAAAACCAATTCCAGAATTAAATCTTGCAAGTAAAACAGTGTTCCAGCTTTGCTTGATACCTATGGTCTGAATTGAAGCAATTAGTATTGATGAGAGATGATATATCCTCCACATCCAGCAAGGGCAAAATTTGTTGAAGAGCACTCTATCAAAACCAAAAATAGTAGCAGGCTCACTTTTTTTTTTTGACACAATACCAGTGGGCTCACTTTCAACAAGGGCCACACAAGCACACATATATCCAAGAGAGAGAGAGAGAGAGAGAGAGAATCATAATAAAAGAGGTAATACTTTCTCAAAATATACTAACATCACAAAGCGATTGAAATTCATGGTCCAAATACTGAAAAGGTTCTGAGACATGAAGGCGTGTTACCTTGCATGCTTGCCGGACACTAGCCTCATCATCTTGTAGATGGAGTATCATACGTGGCAATGTAGAATGCACCTAGATGAATACAAGTTTTACCAGCATGTTTAAACATTTGACGAAGCTGGTCACAATCTTAATGTAAACAAGCTGATGCTCGGCACAAGAATATCAATTATGTGAAATAATGCTAAGAGATAGCAATGCCAAACATTGAGGAAAAAAGGAGACGGACAGAACCTGCTCCAGAAAGGCTTCATGCAATGCACCAGTACCATACTTGCTTAGAGCTCCAAAAGCTGCAAAGGAAGAAGCTCGCACTTTTCCATTCATGGAGATCTGCAGTTAATAATATTAATTGGCTATATCACATGAAAACCAAATCCAGATGTACAAATTAATTTTCAAATAGAGCTAAAAGGGATGCATTTAGCTTGGTGAAGATTGACCTGGTACTAAATAAAGAGAATATGCAGACAAGAATAAAACCCAGAATCCCTATTTTACTTTTTATTGACATAATGCCACTTCCAGTAAAAGTGAGCAATGTAAAAGTTTTCACAATAGAAAATATTACTCGGCCAACTAAGCTATCCTTAAGTCTCAAGCTAGCTGGTAGGGACCTAGGTGATTGTCTGGGATGGAACTGATTTTCATTGAGCCAAAAAAATAAAAAAATTTAAAAGCACACTGTAAAAAGCTGGAGATATTAAGAAAAAAAAAGAATAAGACAATTACTATGAGATTGCGCAAACGTATGGAGAGGTTGATTAAACTAGGAGCTACAACATCCCTTGGAAAGGTCTGAAGAACCTGCAAGAAAGGGAATGGCTTATCATATATTAATTTGGATAATAAAAACCTCAGGAGGCCAGCTTATTCCCGTATTTACTAACAAGAAAATTCACTACGAGCTCAATGGACTATTGAAAACCATAGTCTACCGGTTTATCACCACAGAGAAATGTCAGACACTAGAAAATATACATGAACTCAATGGACTCTTGAAAACCATAACCTATTGGGTTATCACCACTTATTGAAATGATGGACAAGTGATGGAGAGAGAGAGAGAGAGAGAGAGAGAGAGAGACGCACCATAGTAACAGACAGTGAGACAGTGGTGGTCGCCTACTCTTCCATCACACTCATCGTAGTTCGTTGGAGGTGTACTTACCGTAAGTGTACTCGTCTTTCCTATACGTCCAGTGTTCACTCACCTATA